CCCCAAAACCCCAAAACCCCAAAACCCCGTTAGGAAATAATGTGCCATTTCATTGTAAATTAATAATTTATAAATATCTGATATGGAAAAATCTAAAGTATTGCCTATTACTCTTCTAGCTCTTATATTTTCATCTACATAAGCTAGTCTCCAGATTATGCATCCGTAGGAATTAAAGGAAAAACTTACCTATATCTAGGATGGCTATATAAGAAGCACCCTTGGAAATTTCGGTCACATAACATATGGATCAACAATTGTAAGCAATCATTTATGTTTTAAGCATTTTAGTTGGGTAAACTTCATTATCCCAAATCAAATAGAAAAGGATGCGAGGAGTTTACAAGTGATAATTTCTCAAATGATCCATTATTTGATGATGATACTGACATGTCTCCGATTTTATTGGTCGATAGAGGAGATTGCCCATTTGTCGTCAAAGTGAGAAACATTGAAAAAGCTGGAGTTAAATTAGCCATTATTATTGACAATAGTGAAGAAGCTACTGAGAATTTAATTATGGCTGATGACGGCAGAGGTTATAGTATTGGAATCCCTTCATATATGATAAGAAAGAGAGAAGGAAACATTATCAAGGATTCTATAATTAACAACCCAGCCAAGAGTGTTTACATTAAAGCTGAAATTGAAATCAATCATCCAGATAATAGAGTTGAGTATGAATTATGGTACTCTTCTATTCTTGACCTTGATTATATGGAACTCAAAGAAATCGCTCTTTACTAACAAGCTTTAGGTGAAAATGCACTATTTACTCCTAGAATATTGACCTACTCATGCAAATAATGTACTAATGATGAAACATTCAACTAATGTCTTAATGACGGAACATATTGTCCTTATTTACCTAAGGAAAAACCAGGCAGAGTTAAGGTTGATGTCCCATAATTTGAATTACTGTATGAATCAATAAGAGAGAGGTGTATTTATGAAGAGCTGGTTAAGGAAAAAAATGTTAATCAAAATTTCACTAGATGGTTCAATTACGCCCTTAACTTCATTGATTAATGTGTAACAGCAAATAGATTCGGTGAGAAATGCTCAAAGGAAGTGATGACTGATCTTGGTTTTAATTTCGATGATGTAATGGCATGTCTTGGACTTAATTCATTCCATTTCGGTTCACCAGAGAAGCAAGGGAAATTCAATAAATTATTGCAAGCTGATAGGGAAGATGCCGCAAATCTCGGAGTAATTCTTCATCCTTAGATCTCAATAAATAATATGACATACAGAGGTGATTTCAATGGCTATGATATTTTCAGAGCAATTTGCTCTGGATTCAAGGAATAACCAAGAGTCTGCAAAGGTGACAATGTCTTTGAGTACTTGCAAGATGCTGACTAACAATTCAATTTTACTCATAGGAGAACACTCGCGAAAGTATATCACATCGTTGGTGCAATTATTCTTGTGCTTGCAGTTAATCTTTGTGCGCTCTACCTCTATAGAAGATATACAAAGAGACAAATGAATGAGGAATTAGCAGACAAAGTAAACAGTGCTGTAAGTCAGTATTTCAAACTATCAGGGCAAGACAATACTAGAGATTGAGTCTAGGAAAATGAGGATGAATGTTTGAAACAATTATTCATAGTTTAATAAATAGTAAAATTTGAAAATATATAAATATATCTAGTATGACTTAAATGTTATTTAAATAAAAGAGAAACAGTATCCTCTCTTTGTGCTCATGAGTAAGCACCGAGCCAGTTGCCTGGGATCTTGTGTGTCTTGAACATCTTTTCTCTGAATTTCTTGTATCCCTTGCCACTCTTTACAGCGTAGACTTCAAATCTGTGGGAATATGTGTTTACGTAATGGTACTTTGTGAAGAAGTATGAAATTGGGTAGAAAGTCAGGACGATGCAACCAATCATACCAATGACAACCTTTTGATCTGGAACCTTAGATCTGGCAATGTAAGCAAGATACTCAGAAACATCATGAGCCATTTGTGGAGCTGATGCTGGAGTACCATCTTCATATTCGATCATGCCGTCGTGAAGTTGTGGGGGCATGGCAATAATCATATGATCGAAATATGGGTTATAGTATCTACCTTCTGGGACATCAAGACCGAAGGGTGGGTTGTAGTGATAACCAGTCAGCAAGTTATATGAATAGTTAATGAGACCTGGCTGATGAGAGTTAGCCTTTGAGAGTTCAGGTGGCCACACACCATTGTTGGCGTTCTTGGCTTGATGGACAGTGAAATATGGAGCCCACATTCTGTCATGAATAACTCTTTGTCTGTAATCCCACTCTTGGAAGTAATCTCCTTTGTATTTTTGATGGGCTGGGTGGATTCTTGGAGCGAAGACCATCTTTGACATTAGTTCTCTTTGCTTGAAACCCTTATCAATAAGCAAATCGTATTTCTAATGCATGGCTCCGTGGCATCCTTGGCATGAACGTTGGAAAACCTTGAATCCTCTTCTCAAACTAAAGATAGAATTAAAATGAGATTGAGGCTTACGTAGCGGAGTTGTAGGTGTTCCAGGTAATCTCAGATGGCCAGTGAGAGTGACCGTGATGCATACCGACTGAGTTAACTTGCTCTTCGTAACCCTTAATACCATGTGGAGCTCCGATATCGTCACGGAAAATCCAAGCCTCTGCAGCTTAATTTCCAGAGGTCATTGAATAGATGGCACCACCTGCAAGAAGCGAAGTGCTCAAGTTAGACAAGTATCTATGGATCGAATTCTTTTGCAAGAAGTCCTCCTACTGGGCGTATAGAGAAGATTCCATCTTATTATTTTAATAATTATATAAAACACCATCAGTGCTCATCATATATTTATTATTTAAAACACTTCATTTAACTATGAAAATTCCCTTACGGGGTTTTGGGGTTTTGGGGTTTTGGGGTTTTGGGG